CTTGTGGTCTCTTTCAACTCTATGATTCTGTGATTCTGTGATTCTGTGATTCTGTGATATTGATTATTGTTGTTGTTACTTGTTCTTGGGGTTTTCTTGGCAAAATCTCCACAGGGGTTTGCCATGGCTTTTCTGGGGCTGAGAGAGTGTGCATGCATATTTTTTAATTTTTTTATTTTATTTTATTTTATTTAAATTAAATTTTATTTATTTATTTATTTATTTATTTATTTATGGTGCTTCGGCCCTGGTATAATGTATCAGTGAAGTAGCTCTTTTGTAACTGTAAATGAGGGGGGGGGGGAATAAACATTCATAGAGGAGAACGTTTGCCTTCAAATCATGGATCCACCATAGCAACCCATGCACTAGATTAAAATAAAGCTTTGGAAAAGGCCGCATGCAGATCCAGAAATGCTAACCACAAAAAAAAATAATGCTATGAGTCAAGGCAGAGGTGATAGCAAAACAGGGGGAGAACTCATGCTTTTCCCTTTAAAATCAACTACAAGTCTTTCTACCCCATTTTTACTCGGAGTAAGATTATTGCCTGTTTTTAAAGCAGAGAGGAGTCCCTAGAAGAGCTCTCCCACAAAAGATCAGTGCATTACTCTTAAGGAATGCTTTTATTGGGGGTTATTTTTGCCATTGCCCATGAACCCCTATAAACTGGTATTGTAGTGGCCATTGTCCCAAGCTCTCTCCTCCATTTTTGTCTCTTTTCTTCCCCAGTAAAAACTGCCTTGCTACACACCTGAGCCCTCCTCTGCCTCGGTTTTCATTCAAAATGAGAATCAAGGTCTCATTTTTTGCATATTTTGGTCTTTTTCCCCCAATGTCTCTGTACTCAGCATTTCTCCCTCATCAGTTCAGTGGAAAAGTGGTTTGGCCCCAGAGGTCATTTCTGGCAAGGCTCTGGAGGACAGTTTTGCAAACTGGACTTCTTCTCATTTCTGCAGAAAATGTAGGGCTTAGCAAAAGGTTATGTTCTTGGCCAGACTTTGGAAAATAGCCTTTCTGCCTCTGCTTCGAGGAGAAGATAGATGCCTTGCGTTCAGCTGCTGGTTCATGTAGGCACTGGTCTCTTTGGGCACCTTGGACATAATTTATACAGGGATCCTCTAGATCAAGGGAGTGTTGTAAGGTTGTGATATTTATTGCTGTTCTCAGGGTTTGCTAAGAAAAACATTCCTAATGATGTTTCTCTTGTCAGAGGCTAAAATCAATCATTCTATATGAATGGCTAGATTTAATTTTCTAATCAATTATTTTTTTTACAAAAAAAAAAAATAAAAACTAAAAAGTGTACCTCCTGAATAATTCCAGATGCCTGGATGCGGCTCCTAGTCCCACTGGAGTTGCCCACTTCTCCTCCAGATTCAAGAAAGGAGTGTTTGAGGCAGGGGAAGGCAACCTTTTTGAGCCGGGGGCCGGGTTGCTGTCCCTCAGACAATTGGGGGGCCAAAGCACCAAAAATAAATGAATACATAAATACAAATTAAAATTAAAAAATTTAAAAAAATAATAAAAAAATATGCATGCACACTCTCTCAGCCCCAATAAAGCCATGGCAAAACCCCTGTGGAGATTTTGCCAAGAAAACCCCAAGAACAAGTAATAACAACAATAATCAATATCATCATGGCGGGCAGCGGCGGTGGCGGCGGTGAGACCGGCCTGGAGCCAGTCCAAAGGCCTCGGGGGGCCGCATCTGGCCCCCGGGCCTTAGGTTGCCTACCCCTGGTTTGAGGAAGATTTTCCATCATTAAGAAAACTAAAGATGCATCACACTTCATGATGTTGATCATCTGTGCCTCTCCAATCAGTCCAGTTTCTGTCTAGGAAACCCCCCAAAATAGGGAGGAGGAACAGAAGGAATTGCAATTCTACTTCTGGTTTTGCAAATTCTACTTCTGATTTCATATATGCTTTTTTTTTTAATGTTAAACAGCATGGGGAGCCCTTGTTGTTGTTTGCCTGCAAGTCATTTCTGGCTTATGGTGACTCTTAGGTGACCCTTTCTTGGGGGGGGTTGGGGCTGAGAGTGTGTGACTTGCCCAAGGTCACTCAGTGGGTTTCCATGTCCGAGCAGGGAAATGAACCCTGGTCTCTAGAGTTATGGTCCAATGCTCAAGCCATTGTACCACACTGGCTCATGGTGACTCTAAAGCACCCGACCACAGGGTTTTCTGGGGTTGAGAGGATGTGACTCACCCAAGGTCACCCAGTGGGTTTCCATGGCTGAGCAGGGAATCAAACTCCAATCTTCAGAGTCAGATGAATAGTCAAAAGAAGGGAAATTGTCCCAGTAATCAGTGAAGCTGTGACAGAGAAAATAGGTTTTGAAGCCTAAAATCCATGTCTTTTTGTTGCATTTCTCTGCTCTCTTGGAGGGACCAAGGGCTCGGGTCAGCACCCCCCCGAATCAATGGGGGATAAGAAGAAGGGATGAGCAACTACCAGAGGGGTAAGTGTCCCAGCCCCAAATACCCTTTGCACTAAGGAGAGGAATAAACAGACCTTTTCCCTTTCCACATAACAAACATCAGAAATGCTTCTTGCTATGTGGGTATGAAAAAATGCAAAATCCATGAGAGACATCACAGGTTTCTAGTCCTTGACAATTCTGGCAAAGCTTTAAAAAGCTGATAGAATTTGTTCTGAAGTCCAAGTATGGATTGTGGGGATGTTGTGGCTAAGCCAACCAGAAAGTATAAAATTCACTGCAGTAGCTTTTGAGCTGACTGGATTTTTATTATTATTTTTAATCAGACAAATGCAGTCTTTAAAAACATGAAGGGGAAGAAAGGTTAGAGTCACAGGTTTGCATTTTGCTTGCAGAAGATGTTAGAACAAGCATGCCTTCTAAATCTCCTGATTTGGCAGGACTGATCCCAGTTACGGCCTGAACAGACGGGGGGGGAAACTGGCTTACCTCTGGGCTTTTCTGATTTGCAGGGAGAACCCATTGACCACATTGCAAAAGCAAAGCAAAGCAGCTTCATTTATATACCGCTTCATATTGCGCTATGGCATGTCTAAGCGGTTTACAACTGTAAGCTCATTGCCCCCCAACAGTTGGGTAGTCTTAGAGATTTCCAATGTGAAGCCGTAGGCTTTCATAGCCGGCATCCATAGTTTTTTTATGGGTTTTTCGGGCGGTGTGGCCATGTTCTAGAAGAGTTCCTTTCTAATGTTTCACCAGCATCTGTGGCTGGCATCTTCAGAGAATACTGGAATGGAAGAGAGTGGGTCTATATATACTGTATACTATATATACTGTATACTATATATCCAGTATTCTCTGAAGATGCCAGCCACAGATGCTGGCAAAACGTCAGAAAGGAACTCTTCTAGAACATGGCCACACAGCCCGAAAAAAACCACAAAAAACTAAAAAGTTGGGTATTCATTTTAGCGACCTCGGAAGGATGCAGGCCTGAGTCTAGCCTGAGCCCTAGCTAGTATTGATCTTGCAACCTTGTGGTCTACAAGTGAGTGGTTGCACGACAGGCATTGAACCATTGCACCACCAGAGCTCCCACAATGGGCCAAACATCCATGGGCAGTCCACACACACACACACCCCTGGGACATTCAGTGTTATAAGCTGCACCATTCCATTATTTTTTCCTGCCCCGCTGCAAACACATGCGGACGACCACACAAATGCACAACCAGTGGCCACCAGTTGTCACCCTTACCCTGCCCATGAGCTAGCCCATTCGATGCCCTGCTCAACCCACCAGGCGACCGGCCGCTCGATTGCACAAGCGATCAACCACCCATATGCTACATCGGTGTGCCCAGTGACCCATGGGCACAGCACAATCATGGAGGTCCCCCTGTACATGCCCCCTTCCCCCTTTCCCTCATTGGACTGACCAGTTTGTTCATGTTATGATTACATCCATTGTATTGTTGGTGGTATCCCATGTTGGTCATCATTAGGCTTCATGGGGTGTGCGATGGTTTAACAGTGCAGCTGACCACACGTGTGTATGTGTGATTGATTCACGGGCCAAATGCATTCTAGTTTTCATCTGTGAAATGTTGGCCAGTATGCATTCCTGCATAGCTTGTTGGGATGCAGTTAGGACAGAGGCAGAATCTGCACTGCACAAATAATGCAGTTTGACACCGCTTTAACTGCCATGGCTCCAGGCCATGGTCCTCTCTCCTTTGTGGTTATGCCATCTGATTGCTAAGCAGAGGGGCGGGATAAAAATAAAATGTATTATTATTATTATTATTATTATTATTATTATTATTATTATTGCAGGATGTGTAGTTTTGTGAGCTATTTAGCCTGCTTTATCTGATGCCACAACAAACTACAAAAATCCATTCTTCCATAACATTGAGCCATGGCAGTTAAAGCGACATCAAACTGCATTATTTCTGCAGTGCAGATGTGTCCAGAGGGGGGAGATGCAGAGATACTCTGCTTTAAAATACCTGCTGCAACCATGAAATGCCAGCAGATCTTCTTTCATCCCTTTTGCTTTGTCTCATCTCGATCTTCCTCAGATCAGTGTGATATGGCAGCTCTGACAGGGTGACCGACCGGACGTCCTCTTTTTCCAGGACATGTCCTACATCCAACCTGCTGTCCAGGAGAAATTCCAAAATGTCCTCCATTTGGAGCATGACTAAGAAGCATGAACTGATTTATACGTTAGTGTTTTTAGCTTTGGTTTTGTAATGTCCTACATTTTACGGTGCCTTGTCCTCTCTCCTTTGCGGTTATGCCGTCTGGTCATCCTGAGCTCTGAGCAAGCCCCTTCCCAGTTAGAACTGGCTTGAAGAAGCCAGGAGATGAAAGAAGGTCCATGGGATGGGGGTCTTCTTGTCATTGCACAGATGGGACCCCAAAAACCTGGCCCCTCGGCATCAGGAGAAGCCTTCAGGAGTGCTGGCTGCGCTGGAATGGAAATACCAGGTCTTGCAGAGGAAACTATGTGCTGAGATGTTGCAGGCGCATTACGGTGAGGAAAGTGGGATTGCATGGAAATCTGCTGGGCAATCTTGGGCATGTCACACTCTCTCAGCCTCAGAGGAAGGCAATGACAACCTCCTTTTGAACAAATCTTGCAAAGAAAAAAAACCCAAACCCATCGCCTTAGGGTCACCACAAGTCAGAAGACACACCAGTGCCACCACTACAAAATGTTCAGTTAAAGAACTAAAGGGCAAAATTCTTCATAGTGTAATGTGCATTTGCTTCTATTCTGTATTTTTTTTAAAAAATTTAGAGCTTTATTTAGCGTTGCGACCAAATCTTGGTGATACTAAAGAGCAGAACAGGCAGAAGAGTCCTGCCATCAAAGTCCTGGATGGCACCTCACTGGATGCCTGGAACAATGAATATAGACCAAATTTAATACAGTACATTCCCAGACTTGCCATGGATAGTGAAAATTGCAGATAACAGCAAACTCTGTATTTCCAATGGAAGTTGACCATAGATTTGCACTGGAGGGCTTCCAGATGCCTAGAGAGATATTCAGTCTAAGCACCAGGAGATCTTCCAGTGCAACTCTATGGTCAATGTCTGCTATAAATATAGGATTTGCTGTTATCTGGTTTTCACGATCCATTGGAAGTTGACCATAAAGTTGCACTTCAGGACTTCCATGTGCTTAGAGAAACCATATTTCTTTGGATACGGGTAAATGAAGCCATGAGAACCAGCATGGCATAATGATTTGAGCATTAGACTATGACCCTAGGAACCTGGGTTCAATTCTCTGCTCATTCATGGGGTGAGTCACACACTCTCAGCCCAAGAAGACTCCATGATAGGGTTGCCATAAGTTTGAAATGACTTGAAGGCACACAACAACAACAAATGAAATTGCAGGTACCAGCCCTGCAGATATAGGAGGCATATGGATATGATTTGTTGTGATGTTCCTAAAAATATATAGGGACTTTATAAAAATATAGAGGGACGATTGTGATTGCCTTAGTAATATTCAATTATATTTTGCCCCACAGAACCCCAAAAGTGGTACGCTAGCAATTAAATGTCCCTTTTGGATGGCTATGCAGAGAAGCGGGATATAAATAAAATTTATTATTATTATTATTATTATTATTATTATTAAGAGCTGAGTTGAGGCAGTGGCATCCCTATGGTTGGTGTCACCCAGTATGGTAACTCATGGTGTCACACACACACACACACACCCATTGACCTCTTCCCAGTTCACACCATACAGAATCCTTTTTTGCACTAATGTTACTTGAAAGTCCCAGTTCCCATATACCGCTGAGTGTAATGCTAATAGTTGTGACATAGACAACTAGCAAAATTAAGATTATGCCTTCAAATTCCAATATCATACACACCACCTAAATGTATGTACGTATGCATAGTGAAGATTTGGTAAAAATGTGATGTTTTTAAAGAAAATTTTAAAAGAATTTTAAAAATTAAAAATTTTGAAATTTGAATTTTAAAAAAACTCCTGGGGCCTCTCCTTTCTCCCCCCACTGAGCTTCTCCCCACTCCCAGCTTCTCTTAAAGCATTTTAAAGGGAAGCAGATGAATGCCACAGCCCATTTCTGCCAAAAAGTAGATAGGAGTATAGTAATGCCACTGAGTTTATTATTATTATTATTATTCTCCTCCTCCTCCTCCTGCAGGGCTGTCGCTCTGGGCATCCTTGCCACGCAATGTGAAAGAGGAGAAGATCTCAGAACTGGAAACGTTGGTGGACTTTGGCTTACGTGAGGGGAGCATTTTGTCACTCTCAAGCCTCCCTGGTGCCCAGCACAGCGTCAGGTATCACAACCGTGGGATCGGCAAAGGCCCAACTGGGAATAGCAAGGCACAGGAATGGAAGGAATAAACTCCGTTATATATTTACTAGTTGGAAAATGGGTTTCCCTATAGCAAGGAAACCATGCCAGGAAGAGTAATTACGTAGGCAGCTAGACTTCAAACGTCCCAAAGTGCATCCCTTCCAAAATTTCGTAGAGGAAAACTAGGATGCATGTGGCCAAAAAAATACCCAGAGTGTGGCCAAGATGGCAAAGGTTATTAATGAGGAAGGACACACAAGCAGCAGTTTGCTTTTGCCTGAGTTTCCTTGAAAGAGCAAGATCTTTGCCCTTTCCTCCCTTCTTCCCCCCAAATGAGTTAATT